CTCATTTTTCACAGGCAAATTTAGCAACAAGGGAAATAATATTTATTTCAAAATATATATATATTCTAGCGCCAGAGATATGTTATTGACATGTTATTGACTTGAGGGTCTCCTCCAATTCAACACCATTATCTTATTCATATAATTATTGATATGTTATTGACATGTTATGTACATGTTGTTGACTTGATTTTCATTCATTTTTTAACATATACACAAGCAAAAATTAACATGCAAGTGAAGCACAAGGAAGAGATGCCAAATCCAACAACATTGATGGTACAAATTGGGGAAAACCTTTACTCTAACCCTAAACTCAAATTCCATAAATTACTCACCAAATGCTGGTTATTGAACAATCGCAAGGTGTCTGTGCGGGGTCTTTGTGCGGCTTTGCTCCACAAATGGAACCTTTCACTTCCAACAAATACGGCTTCTCTCCTTCCCCTTCCACTGCTTCGCCACTTCACTGTTTCGGAATCCACGCCTTTGTCCCTTCCACTCAAAATAAATACTTTTTCAGGGTTTAGAGAAGGGAGTTGCGTTGCGTTCAACCGTTGCCTTCAACCGTCGTTAACCGTTGCCTTCAACCTTTTCTCAGAGCTTAGCAGTTTCTCAGAGCTATGGGTTTTAGAGTGATGGGTTTTTTCTGTTCAAACTTCGAATTGATTTTTTCTGTTCAAACTTCGAACTTGCCTCTTTTTTTTTTTTTTTGGGACCAACTTCAATGCTGGATATTAAATTCGGGTTTGGGTTCCTCACCGACCCGATTGCAAAACTTTATCTCAATTCTCCCTAGCCTTTGGATTGATCTGATGGCTATAAAGTGAACCCCTTATAACTTACCACTTATAACTTTCCACTCATTATAGTCTGACCAGGGAGGGCAAGCGGAAGAACTAGCCTCCAAATCAGCACAAGTAGCTCCACGAGGAAGTCGACTATGAAAGCCAACTTGCGAATTACCAACCCTCATGGGGGTTTGACAGCCCGAGTACAAGTCCCGCAGATCCGAAGGGATTCCATCCAAATCTGGCACATAATGTCCTTTGTTGTCGTCTAGTGGCTTGTCCCGGTGACCCACGTGCCCCCAATCCCGAGAAAGAATATGCCCACGCCCCAAGGCACTGCCAAGTCCAAGGGTGCCCAGACTGGGCCCAGTCTCAGTTTGTCGCCGATAAGGTGGTCGGATAACTTTGGCCCTCAAGTTAGTAGTAAAAAGTCCAAAGCCACCATCAGGGAACGGACAAGAATCCATTATGCAGCTTAATCTCCCACAATGATAATAGTAATTCGCAAGTCGTTCATATCTAATTTCTGCCCAGATCATTGGTTTATGAGGTTGAGGAAGCCAGAAGCCTTCGACAAGAGGTTTTTGAGCATCAAACAGAACAAGAAAACGTAAAATCCCACGATACCCATCTTCTTGGTCAGGGGCATCAACCTCTAAATAGTCCCAATTGAAGCACCAATGCAACGGGCATTGGCCTTAATCATTTTTTCCAAAGGGAGCTTGCAAATTTGAACCCAAAATGAAATTGAATGCTGATCCACATCATCAATTGAATGCTAATCCACATCATCAATTGCCATACCTGCACACCATTTATGAAGAATGGACAGATTATCCGATTGCTGGAACAAAGTTGAGATCCTAAAGACCTTCTAGAAGTATACTCTGTTGGGGTAGGAGATACCAGTAAAGTGGCATGGTGATAGAGCCAAGCCAAATAACAACACCAGAATGTGGGGTTAGCTGTAAACCCCGAGATGCTAAGAGCTAAATTTCTATTGGGGAATGTGGGTTTTGTAACAAAATCATTTGTTCCTACAAATAGGGCTTAAAAATTGCAAACGAAGGCAAAAAAATTTTATGTAAGAAACCAATGCAGTCCCACCATAGCTCTTAGTACGTAGCAATAATTTCAAGCATTGAAAAGAAAAAAAAAAGCAAGAAACTGCTCATCATCATAACAATTGCCAAGACAGATAATTGAAGCCAAAAACAAAATCAAATTGGCGGTGCAGTAAGCCATCTCTTAATAGTACACCAACCAAAGAGGGAGGGGGTCTAGAGACCTAAACATGATGGCACACCCTTGCAATGGCCAAAGCTGCAGCATGATCGAATTGATAAAGTCTTGGGTAAATTAGCAAGACTTTTGGTGTTAAGAATTAGGCTTAAAAGTATTGAAAAGCCATTCATTTAACAAAGTTTTCAAAAGTCATTAATTTTTTGGATACCACAAAACTTTTAAAGACTTTTTAAAATCAGAATTGAATACAACTAAACTTTTAAAGACTATTTAAAAGTCATAGTTGAATACTTCCAGACTTTTAAACTCATTAAAAGTCTTTAAAAGTTAGAATTAATACACCCCCTTAAGAGCATCTCCAGCGCAGCAACAGAACCGGGCAAAAGGCCCCCCTCGCAAGCCCAAGGCAGCTCCAGCGCTGCAGCCTGCAGCCTGGTTTGGCGTGGGTCCCACCAGCCTGGGCAAGCCCAAGGGCAAGTTTCGCCTGGGCTTCAGCCCGATGGCTGTGATGTCAGCGCTGACGTTACGATGACATCAGCGAGCAAAAAAATATTTAAAAAATCCAAAAAAATTTCAATTTTTTTTTAAAAATACCAAAAAATTATAGATGCTTTCCCTATAAATACATAACAATTTTATTCACTTTCTAAATTGTTTATATTTTGTTGCATAATATTTTTTTCCTTTCTTGCCTTAGACTTGCCCTAGACTTAGCCCTCATGGGTGGAACCACAAATGGCAAAGCTGACACTATTCACGTGAATAGTGGCAGCCCTTGCTTGCCCTTGCCCTAGACTTAGCCCTTATGAGTGGACATGCTCTAAGAGAGAACCCCATTACAGACCAAGGACTGACCGAGAGGAGTTTGACAGCCATGTATTCATTTTCCACTGTAATGGCAAGGAGATTTTCCTTCACTATATTAATCTTGGCCTCACCAAACTGCTCCCAAGACCTACGTAAAATCCCTTTAACAGGCCCGCGGTTAGGGGCCTTGTCTGCCATGAGGACCCCAATGAGGAGCACACCAACGATTACGCCATCGAGCTGATGAGAATCCTCCAATTGGATGACCAGTTGATTAGCTTCGAGTTCCATGCCCAAGGTGAGGAGTAAGAGGGGAAAGAACCAGAGAACTGAAAAAAGACCACAAAAGAAAAAAAGATGAACATGGAGACTAAACCTTTTATGTGTTGGCTTTTGTCTCTTGTGTTGAGAAGGCAACAGGTTTTGATAGGGTCTCTTTAGAGCAAACCGTTTTGAGAGCAAGGAATTCACCATAAAGGAGTGCAAGGAATTCACCAATGGAGCCTCTTTGGAGGCTGATGTTGTGAACGTTCTGAGATCTAGAGCAACTACTATGCCGTCTGTTCATCTTCTACAGTAGAGAAAAAAATCCCAAGTGAAAAATCTGATGGGTTAGCGTAGGATTTGAGATAGGGCTTAGTATTTATACCTCCCACTAAAAAATTCCACGAAATCCCACATTTTAAAAAAGAGTGCTGCTAAATGAACCCTAAAATTTACTGAGTACACCCTACTACTAAACTATTTATTGAATTACTAATTTACCCTAATATAAAATGACCAAAAAGAATATATTAAATTGTAAAACAAATGTAATTTTAATAAGCACACTCTAATTTTAATAAGAAAAGGCCACGAAATGGCAAAGCCATGAGGGAAACAGGCAGACAAACACTTATCAACCTCCATTGCTTCTTAAGCCTCCTCTTCTCTCCAATAATACCAAACCCGCTTTAAAAACCACCACCATCATCAACCACCCAGGCTCTTCTTGGGTTTAGGGCCCTTTTTTCTTCCTCTTCCTTCACCACTACCACCATTTTTTAGAAACAGAAAGCATCAAATATCCCAATAAAGACTCAAAAGATTCTTGAGCAGTTTAGACTCAGAAAACTCGAACTTCTGCAAACTTTTGCAATTGTACTAGGTTCGAAGTTACAAAAAACATACTTCTTATATGTTATTTGTGTTGTAGCTGCTAAGACAGTAAGAGAAGGTTCAAAGACCAAGTATCTACGAGCTCTTATGTACCAATACATGATACAGCGGTAGGGGAGCCTAATAATAGGAAATAGATTTTATCCGTTGCCAATGCAAAATTTTAGCATAATGAACTCTCACAACCGGTGGAAGCACACAAACATTTGACTTGGCATAGCAAACTAATTTTAAATTACATTTAAAAAAATGTAATTTTAATATATTGAATTGTGATAGATTGTATTAGGGTGTACTAGGGGTATTTTTGGTAGTTAAATAAGGTGTACTTAGTTAATTTTACAATTAATTTAAATATTAAGGTGTACTTAGATCATAGGCTGTACTCAGTTAATTTTAGGGTTCGTTTAGCAGCACTCTTAAAAAATCCTACGAAATTAGCAAATTTTTGAATACCATAAGACTTTATGTTAGTTGTTTAAAGTCTTTGATTGAATACTACTAGATTTGATAACTCTGTTTTAAAAATCCTAATAGTACCATAAGATTTATTTAGATTATTTAAAAGTCTTGATTAAATACCACATGACTTTTTTATCTCTAAATAATCTTTTAAAATCCTAATTGAATACACCCTAAAAAGACAGCTGAAACTTGAGCAGGGAGTTGAGAAGAAGTAAGGAAGGATATGGACAAGAAAATGGAGAAGAGCAAGAAAAGAAAAGGCAAAAGGTCACTTTCGGTCCCTGTAGTTTGCCATTTTTACCACTTTAGTCCCTGTAGTTTCAATTTGGTCAATTTTGCCCCTGTACTTTCAATTTCGAGCAATTTAAGGACAATTGAGATTTTCTGTTGAATTTCTTTAACGTCCGTCATCTTTTGGTCACGTGCCCCTCACGTGGAGGGGCAATTTCGTCAAATCGAGCCCACCTAAAAGCTGCCCTCTCTCTTTCTTCTTCAGACCCACCAAAAAAAAAAAAAAAGCTGCGCATTTCTCTATTACACTGAAGTCGCGACTTTGGGCAGAGTACAGTTAGGGTTTGAATATCAATTTCGAAACAAGACACTATTTTGCTGGATTTAGACTTTCACATCATCAACAATAAAGAAGAGAGGTGAAGGAAGTGGATGCTGGAATAAACAAGGTGAGAGCTCGATTTTAAAATTAGGTTCAAGTTGGTTTGGGATCTTTATTCAATTGTTGGGCTTTCAATATTCCAAGTTGTTTAGGCTTTCAATGCATTCTTTATTGAATTGTTTTGGTGAGTTAGTGCTGGAGTTGTGGTGGGTTTGTCATATTCTGATTTTTTTGCTTTGTCAGATTCTAGTTTTGAAAAGGTGTAGTGTACTGGGTTAGGACTTGTCTCTTAGTGGAATGGTTGCTGGAAAAAGTTAAGACTTTAGGAAGTAAATGAATAAATATGGTATCTGTATTTGTTGTGGTCCCTCCTTGTTTGCATAAAGTTCCTCCTGTTTGCATAAAGTGTACGAGATACATGCATTTCAATTATATAAACGTTGTTTCTGTCAAAAAATTTCAGACATTGGGCTACCCCAATTTCCTTATACCGGAGCATTTGATGAGGTCCCAGATGAGTTTTTTGATGAGCTTTTTAGTCAACAATCACAGGTGACTCAAGTCAATGTACAAGTGGGGAATGAAAATGTAGGAACTGTGGAGGTCCCTGTGCATTCTCAAATTGCTGAGAATGTTGTTCATGAAGAGGATAGAGAAAAGGAGAGTAGTGAAGAAGAGGGTACGTAGTGAAGAAGAGGACAGTGAAGAAGACACTTATGTTGAGGGTAGGAGGTGGAGAATAGAGGACAGTAGTGATGAGTCAGAATCGTCTTCCACGACTCCTATCAGTCTTTGAAGTTGCTATTCTCATTTCACCATTACAAAATGGGCATTTTGGAGCTTGGCTGGTAGCATATTTTGACATTTTCGAAGAACCCACAGGTCTGAAATTTTTTGAAGAACCCTAACCCACAATCCCAAAGTTGCATACGAAGAAGAAAGAGAGAGGGCAGCTTTTAGGTGGGCACAATTTGACGAAATTGCCCCTCCACGTGAGGGGCACATGACCAAAAGATGACGGGTGTTAAAGAAATTTGACAGAAAATCTAGATTGTCCTTAAATTGCTTGAAATTGAAAGTACAGGGGTAAAATTGACCAAATTGAAACTACAGGGACCAAAGTGGTAAAAACGGCAAACTACAGGGACCGAAAGTGACCTTTTGCCAAAAGAAAAAGGGAGGTGGAGAAACAAAAGCTAAGGGAATAAGGGTAAAAGCAAAAAAGGACAAGGAAAGGAATAAAGAAATCCTTCAGCAGAAAAAACGAAAAAGGGAAATCAGGATGGTTGACTGGAAGGAGACTAAGCAAACAAGGGGAAGGAGATAGAGGAATGGTTTGGTCGGGGGGTATAGAGGAGGAAGGAAGAAGGCAAATACCACATAACAGGGTATGAAGATCTCATGTTAACAGAGAGAAAAAAGAAAAAGTCAGTATCTAGTTTCACTCGTTTAGATTAGAATGCTGAAATTTTTTAACGTTTCCGACATAAATCAAAGATGCACGAGAGCTGTTTGTGGATATGCTTCAACCAGATTTCACAACATAATCAGGAGCTACAGCATACATGTCAGACGTAATGAAACGTTGTCTCTTCTCCTTCAAAGTTGTCAAAGTTCGTCTGGCTTTAAACCCAATTACCAAGTATTATCAGCCATCCTCAAATCTTGTGCTGCCCTCTTAGCCATCAACTTTGGGAAGGCTCTTCATGGTTATGTTGTCAAACAAGGCCATCTTTCCTGCCACTCTATCTCTAAAGCACTGCTTAACATGTATGCCAAATGTGCTGCATTGGGTGACTGCAAAACACTTTTTGGTCAAATGGGTTACTCGGATCCTGTCATTTGGAACATTGTCTTATCTGGGTTTTCTGCATCTCGAAATTATGATGCTGAGGTAATGAGGTTGTTTCATGAAATGCGTGTAGATGGGAAGGCTAAACCCACTTCTGTTACCATTGCTATCTTTCTACCTGTGTGTGCTCGGTTAGGGGATTTGCATGCAGGGAAGAGCGTGCACTCTTATGTGATGAAGTCTGGATTGGAAAAAGATGTCCTTGTTGGAAATGCTCTTGTATCAATGTATTCAAAATGTGGGCTAGTTTCTGGTGATGCCTATGCTGTGTTTAATAGCATTACTGACAAAGATGTCGTTTCATGGAATGCAATAATTGCAGGGTTTGCAGAAAATAGTTTCATAAATGATGCATTCAAGTTATTCAGTTGGATGCTCAATGGACCAGTGGAACCAAATTATGCAACTATTGCAAATATTCTGGCCGTTTGTGCTTCTTTAGATAAAGACGTTGCCTACTGCTCTGGGAGAGAGATCCATTGTTATGTGCTGCGCCGGAATGAATTGGCAGCAGATGTTTCGGTGTGCAATGCTTTGGTAAGTTTCTATTTACAACTTGGACGAATGCAAGAAGCAGAATCCTTGTTCCACAGGATGAAATCAAGAGATTTGGTTTCTTGGAATGCAATTATTGCAGGATATGCATCAAATGGTGAGTGGTCAAAAGCGTTGGAGTTGTTTGGAAAATTACTCGCTCTGCAGATGATCAGGCCAGATTCTGTAAGTATAGTCAGCATTCTTCCTGCTTGTTCACATTTACAAAACTTGGAGGTGGGGAAAAAGATCCATGGGTACATTCTTCGACATCCTAGCCTATTTGAGGCAACAGCGGTTGGAAATGCCATGGTTAGTTTTTATTCAAAATGCTACAAAATAGAAGCAGCTTTCAAGACTTTTTTGATGATTTTGAGGAGAGATTTGATATCATGGAATACCATGCTAGTTGCCTTTGCAGTGATTGGGCATAGTACAGAGTTCCTCAACCTATTAGATGATATGCTAAGGGACGGCATGAGGCCTGACCATATAACCATCTTGACCATAATACAATTTTGTGCTGCAATTTTGAGAGTAGGAAAGGTTAAAGAAATTCATAGCTACTCAATTAGGGCTGGGTTTTTGCGTGATGATATTGAGCCTACTATTGCAAATGCAATCCTGGATGCATATGCCAAATGTGGTAACATGAAGTATGCATTCAACATTTTTCAGAGTTTATTGGGTAAAAGGAATTTGGTTACTTGCAATACAATGATTTCAGCTTATGTGAATTGTGGGTCACACGATGATGCATTTATCATATTTAACAGCATGTCTGAAACAGATCCCACCACTTGGAATCTAATGGTTCGAGCTTATGCTGAAAATGATTGTCCTGCTCAAGCTCTCAACCTGTTCCATGAGTTACAATCTCAAGGAATGAAGCCTGATGCGATGACCATTATGAGCCTCCTTCCTGTATCTGCTCAAATGGCCTCAGTCCACCTGCTGAGGCAGTGTCATGGATATGTGGTGAGAGCTTGTCTTGATGACTTGTGCTTGAAGGGAGCTCTGTTAGATATGTATGCAAAATGTGGTTCCATAGTATGTGCTTATAAGCTCTTTCAGTCAAGCCTGCACAAGGATCTGGTTATGTTTACAGCTATGGTTGGTGGGTTTGCCATGCATGGTAGGGGAGAAGAAGCACTGAAGGTCTTCTTTCATATGCTGGACTTGGGTGTCAAGCCAGATAATGTTATTATTACTGCTGTTTTATCAGCTTGCAGTCATGCTGGCCTGTTGGATGAAGGGTTGAAGATATTTTATTCAATAGAAGAGATTCATGGGGTCAAACCAACAATGGAACAGTATGCTTGTGTGGTGGATCTCCTTGCTAGAGGTGGACGAATTGAGGATGCATTTTCTTTTGTGTCGAGGATGCCTATTGAAGCTAATGCTAACATATGGGGAACACTGCTGGGTGCTTGCAGGACTCATCATAGGGTGGAATTGGGCCGTGTTGTGGCAGATCATCTCTTCGAAATTGAAGCTAATAATATTGGGAACTATGTAGTGATGTCAAATCTATATGCAGCAGAAGCTAGATGGGATGGGGTCATGGAGGTAAGACGGATGATGAGAACTAGAGACATAAAAAAGCCAGCGGGATGCAGCTGGATAGAGGTGGAGAGGAGGAAGAACCTTTTTATGGCTGGAGACTGGTCCCATCCAGAAAGAAGCATCATCTACAGTACATTAAGTGCATTGGACCAGCAAATGAAAGAGCCAGTTTTAAACAATACTTTGTCAATGCCTAGGTTTCTGAATGCAGAATCTTTCTGTTAGGTTGGCATTTAGATTCAGCATTCTACTTGACTGCTCCATACATGATACTTTTGTTCGGTGGTCAAACCCAATTTGCTATGCCAGTTTCATGCAAGCATATGGGGTGCTTTGCTGCTGCTTCAGAAAAATCTCAAACTTGGATAAGCGTGACTTTCATTTGACCAACGGCCTACTTGAGCCGAGCCGGTCAGCTGGCATCACTTCATATGAACTAAAAACAAGTTAACTTGTGTCATGTGGATGTGAGAGTTCATTGGTTTGTTCCTTGGTGGTAAATCCCACTAAGAGCTTACATGCAGCTCTCACCGAGTCTGGAACATGGGTATGATTCTTACATCTTTCACCTGCGTAGATTCTTTTCACCATTCCAATGGGAGAAGCATAGGGCGTGGCTTGTGTACTAATTCGCCAGTAATTCCCATAATGGCTACATGCTTACAGAAAGAAGACACATGTTTAAGAATTCTTAGGCACGCAGTTAAGGACTATGTCTCTGTTGAACACTACACTAAGGTCAAGTTCGTACTACAGACATGCTCCCTAGCACGGCCGGCCATGGCCGGCCTATGCCTAAGAGCGGAAGGGCGCTTACNNGGAAGGGCGCTTACCCAGCCAATACGTTCTTCAAGGCCCGCTGCCTGCCACCCAGAAAATACTCAACTGGCAAAGAAGACGCCAAACTTTCTTCCCTGAGGTGTTTGAATTCAAATCATCTTCATGTATAATGGATCCTGTAAGGTCAGGAATGAAAACATTCTAAGGATCCTCTATACATGATCCGTGAATCTGCCGACCTAGGAATCCTTGTAGAATATGAAGCCATCTTTTATGAGGCAAATGCTTGGTTGGAGTTTGTTTTGAATTTGTTCGAGTGGCTTCAAACTGGGAATGTCAATACAAAATATGCTTCAAACTGGGAATGTCTCAGCACGCAAGCGAGTTCCCAGAGCCATACTTCTAAGGACAAGCATTGTCCTACTTCCTACTTCTGCAAGGATCATTGCCTCTTATTTGGGCAAAGGTTCCAATTGATGCCAGCAAGGCAGCAGTGGAAACCTATAACCTCCAACATATATTCTTTTAACTACTTGCTGGAAACCAAATATAGGAAATTTGTTATGGAAATCCTGTCTTTCTTGAATCAGGAAAACAAAGAAAAAAAGAAGAAAGAACAGTCCTTCACTTAAGTTGGAATAACAAGATATAATCAATTCAAAGAATACCCATCCAAGCAAGGGGCTTGTAGCTCAAGTGGTTACGAGCATGTACCCTTGCACCCGACGTCATAGGTTCGATTCCTCTCCCCCCCAATATCTTTAACGAATATCCATCCAAGCTCAAGCACCTCCCTAGAATATCAGATCTCTTGTTGAGGACATTTGGCATCTACTACAATTTGTTCCTCAGGTGTTGATCAAGCATATCTTTCTTGAAGCAAATATGACTGTCGATACTCTTGCCAAGAAGTAACATATGTATATTAATTCTTGTATTTGGTTTACTAATTCCCTTTTTGATGTTTTATATAGATTACTGTTTGACTTGTTTGGTTTTCAGATCCTTCGAGGATCTTTGCAATTGTATTTAGTTTTTCACAACAAAAAAAAAAAAAAGAAAAAAAAAGAAAAAAAGAATCTCGGATGATGTTTTGCAAATCTCTAAAGAATATTTTTATATGTATGTTCGCACCACTTTGCAAAACCCAAGGGAGGTGTCGTATAGCAGTGTAGCTCGGAAGTCCGAGTGTCGTATCCACAGAGAGCGGTGTAAAGATAGCAGAGCTGAAAAAGAACAATTATGATTGCAAAGTAGATTTATGCAAGATTTGATTTAGAGAAAATTTAATTGATTAAAACACTAAGGCATTGGGGTTCCACTTTTAACATAAGCATCGCATGCAACTCTTAATAATTTGATCCACAAAATATTTCCCATTGTAGTTGTTCAAAATAATTAAAGCTCTTTTTAATTTCCTTTAGAAGTATTCTAAGCATAACTTGTACCATTGGCAACAAACTATCAAAAAATAATCTTCATCAAAATTCTATTAATGTTTAGTAATTCTCTTCTCTTTTAAAAGCATGAAAGTTTTTACTACACAATGGGAAAAACATGATTGAACCCATGAAATAGATTATCAAACATTCATCAATTAATTAAAAAGAAAACTACAAATTCCATTTGAACAAAAACTACAAATTCACATTAAAGCTTAAGTTTGGATCAAACTAATAAAAATTACACACTTATATTAAAAGCTTTCTCCCTAGCCTTAGCTAGGGAGTTAGTTCCCCATAATAAAATAAAACTAAAAACAGAAATTAAAACTTAGAAAGATATGGAGGAAGGAGAGAAAGCTCAAGTTGTGAGGCTTGGTGTGTTTTTACAATGCCATAGCTCCTCCTATTTATAGGAAAATGGGAGCAATTCTAAATTCATTAAATCCCTCCATTCATGAATTTAATATGTATTCCACTTGCCATCAAGCCAATTGCCAATTTGCTTCCATTACTTATTCCATAGTGTTGATGACTCCATTCTCCAAATTCTTCATCTTTCAATGCACAACCGTAACCCATCTCTTCATTGTTTCTTCTTTTGGCATGGGTGTGGCACTTCATGCATTCTTTTCAATTCTTTTCTTCTTGGTTGCTCCATCCATTGCTTCTTTTCCTTTCTTTTATGCCTTGGTGTGGCACTAATCTTCATCATTCATTTGGTCATTCCCAACTATAAATTGTTTAATGCCACCAAGTCTCTCTTTGATAATTCCTCAACCTTAAGATAAAATAATGAAATCATCATCAATTATGTAATGGGTATGTAAGCAAGTGCAAAAGTGAAAAACAAACCTAATTAACTAAAATTGTAAGAAAATCAATTACTAACAAATATATTTAGGGATAATAAATGTTATAGTTTATGTGCTCATCAATGTACATCATTTACACATTTTAATGCAAATCACATTGACAGGACGTATGATTTTTGTGTTGCACTAACATTATAATATATCATAATAAAATTTATAGTCCAATAAATCTAAAAATATATACTTGAACAATAAAGAATTACTGCAATTGAGACCCCCCAAAATTATGTTTTATTTATAATATGTATATTATTGTTGTATAGTAGACAATATTGAAGATCTATAAGTTATGTAAAATGTTTTTTTTTTCTTTCTTCTTTATGATTAATTTATAACATAATTACATAAATAAACATTTTGATTTATTTTTTTTATTTTTATAATCCTTTCTTTATCAAACAATAAAAATAGTGAATTTCTGAATTAAAAGGGTATAAATGATTTGTTATTGATCATTATTTTTAGTTTTTATTTGGATGGAAAATGGACAAAAAGGCTCTGATGAATTTCAAAATAAAAGTTGCCAGAAGTTGACGAATGTGGTATATCAGGATATGCATGAAGTATGAGTGGCAAGTTGTCAATTTATTTATTTATTTTCAATTTATTGAGCACACGCCGCTTTAATTCAGGTGGCATATGTGAAAATTTCCCTCAAAGAAATTATTGAACATCTTTTCCTTGTCGAACAAAGGTTTTGGGTTCAACAAAGCAGAAAGACTCAAACTTCACGTTCCTTACATGGCTTGTGTTTCAAAACAGCAAATCGACCAATTGGATGAATAATGCTTTGAAGAAGAAAAAGAGTGACTGAAGGTTTTTAATTGTTTGGCTCGTATCAAAGTCACAACTACTTAACTAGTCTCAGATGAGTCCACAAATAATATCACTAAATCCTGAAATGCTATCTTTGCAGTGTGAGTTATAATCCAGATTTGTGTGAGCTTGCCTTGTAAGTATCATTGCCATTAGTTGAAGGGCTTCAGTTTTGTGGATCTTGCTGATTTTCTGCAAAAATTGTCCTCGAAGGTTTGCGAAATACATGCAAATACAACCGGCCAAGCCACTCCGGA